AAAAAAGAAAATACCTTATTTATCCAAAAGAATGTACGTCCATCGTACTTCTGCCCCAGCCATGGGCTCCATGATAACAGTTATTTAAAATGAGTTCATAAGGTTTATGAATTTCATGAATTTGGAAAACATAGCGTTCTCATCGTTATGCGATTTCTCGGCGTTCAAAGTAAGCGTCTTCCTGAGCTGTTGAGGGCACTCTGTGTCAGCTAGTGTGGTTGACACTCACCCAGGGTAGGGGTCGACCCTTTGATATTCAGCCTAAGGTAGGATTTGAACTTGGGTCTACGGATCATGAGTCTGAAGCGACAACCACTATGCTACCAGTGACCAGTATGTTTGTTGACAGTGCTAGTGTGGTTGATTCAGCTGCAGGACAGGACAGAAATCAATGTCAAGAACTGACAACTGGAATGCATGTGAAAATATTTGCATATGGTAGTAACTCTGACTCTTTAGGTTTGTTAACTCACACATGGTATAATCTGTCTTGAAATAAACACGAGTAATATGAGAAAATAATAGTCTGACTTCAGTGGAGACACAACTGACAGTCATAGTATACTTTGATGTACACCAGAATCCATGGAATGTATTATGTTATCTATAGTATTCATTTCATGGTATACAATTTAAAATGGCACTACAATGATTAATAAATAACTCTATGTAGCCAGCCATCCACTGATTCAATTTCGCTAGAGACATATTTTCATAAATATCTCCATGAACAACATTTTGTCTTCCCAATGCATCAAATTTTTAGTCAAATTGTACTTCTGGTGATTTGAAACATTGTAGAAATCTGCTGTATATTTAATTTCATTTTAATAAACCAATAAAATATCAAGATTTATGAATTGATTAAAGTAGATAGGCACCTTGCTGATGTCATCCCAGTGTGTTACGTTTTGTGTTCAGCCTCTTGGCCGTTTGTGTTGAAGTATTGAATAAATATTGAAGTAAACTATGATAACATGAAATAACTGCAGAAAACAAGTTCTGAAACAACTTTCTGGTGCTATGAATTGCTTCATAGTATACACCGATAGAAGGCCTGATTTCATATTGGCAACACGCTAACACTCCCTATGGCAGAACTTGCCTTTACATAAACTCTTTAAATTTCTTTTGAAAACAGCTCGAACATGAATCAATGCTTAATCAATTGAAATATTTTTCTGGGAATTTGAAAACTCGCTTTTTATTTATTTCAAGAGTGACACGCGTGTAAACCAAAAGAAACGTATGATTTCTTTGCCTTTTATTTCTCTTATTCTAAATTAATAGGAGGTGGACAAGTGTTAGCTCAATGGAATGTAATGATGAATTTATCATATTTTGCCAATGACTCAAGAATGTATTAATGTATATTTAGATGTGATGCCATTTTCTATTAAAACAGTCACATTTTGGTAATTATTTCAAATTTAGAACCTTACCGGGTAATTCCCAACTACAATGTAATTTATACAGTGAAATTGAATGTCTGTTTGATACAGGTTTCCAGTACACAAGTTTGAAAATATACAAGAATGAAAAAGGTATAAAATACCAAAAATGTGTAATAATCCTTGCACTATTTTTTATTTTGGGAAAAAAACATGTGTAGATGCAGGCTTTTACTGTAATGATCAGTTAACCCTGTTTTGGACCCTTGCATGCTTTCATTTTTCTAGCCAAAATGTTGATGCATATTTAAAGGGTTAAATAAAAAATATTAAATCATCTAGTTTGCATAATCATCTAATTTGCATAACAATTAGCTAATTTTCAGAATTTCCCAGTATATTTGAAAAATAGATTTTGATGACATTTGTTAGCATTATATGCTCAATGATTGCATTTTTATTTCAGTACAACAGTCTTTTGAAGTTCAGCCAGCTGAGCTAACCACGGCTATTGGTGGAGCTAATGATGTAGTCCTCTATTGTACCATTGCCAACCGAGCTGGAGAGGTCCAATGGTCTAAAGACAATTTTGCATTTGGGACTGACAGAGAGATTGCGGGAAAACCTCGCTTTTCCATGATTGGGAATCCAGATCTTGGGGAGTTTCATCTACAGATCAAACCAGTATTGTTAGAAGATGATGGAGTCTACCAATGTCAGGTACAACCAGGTGGTGATAGTACACAGATCAGGTCACATGATGCCAGGCTTGTCATTCAAAGTAAGTTGGATTTGACTTATTATTATAGTATTATTACTATCATGCACACAGGGTCAAATTTTAGTAAATGAATTTAGCTACCCAATCATATCCTATTTGGTTATCAGGGTATTTGTTTAAACAAGGGAACAGGGGCGCAGCGCCCTCATGGCCATGCACCCCCTTACCCTGGGGAGCAGATCCTCTGGCAACCATAAAATTCTGATTGACCAGGGATCACATGCAGCCACAGTCTTCAACTGTGACCTGTCTGATAGTAAAAAACTCCACACCCTGGTAGGGAGCATCCTATCTTCCCCACTTGGTGGCGCCGCTGATTTGTAGTGCTCCCTCTTTTTGCAGTTTTTTTTCTAGAAACGTGGGGAAGACGTGTAGTGGCGTGAAGCTAGGCGATTAGGTGCCGTACGCGAGCGCCGGTTCGAGTCACGCACGCAGTACGTATTTACTATAATTAGACATAGTCTTTACCTTGCCGTTTATTCGGTGTTATTTGCTTACTTTACTTCCTATGTCGACAGCTACTATGAGTTTAAAAATTATTTCTCAGTACTTATTTTTTGGTTATCATCAGTTTTCTTGGCTGCTGATCAGCAAAATATGAACAGTATGTATGTATTTCTGATTAGTGACTAATTCCTTTGACAATACAAAAGAACTAGGTGTAAAATTTAAAAGTTGTTTCTACACTCCTGAAAAGTAGTCAATGTTTTACAAAGACATTAGGAATTTTGTGTGAACTGGGAGATGATTCTGTTATGATCTGTTGGGGATAATAAAAATGGAGACCATCAACCTTGTTTTTGAGAAAATCTTATGTTTATACGACACAGTTAATACTTTTAGGCTATATGAGAAAAATTTAGAACAAAACCATTTCAAATATAAATAACATTGTAATTTTGGAGTTATTTATATGAAAAATGTTGGTCCATTTTTTTTACTTGTGTGAGTTAAACTAGAAACCAGTCATTGTCATGTAATTATTGTTTTATTGTTGTTGTATATGCATGAGAATACTTTTTTAATCTCACATATGTGAGTTTGACTGTTTTATGTCAGTTCTTATTTAAAAAGAAAACATGTGAGAATCCTTAGGGAGTTTTCTTATTCTCATATACATTGGAATATTGTCTCGTTAAAATTCACGCTACACTTTAAAACAACTATTCTCACATATGACATAATGATGTGATGTTACTCGAGAACATAATTAAAAATGGTCACCCATACATGTGAGAATGACAACTCAAAAATGACAACTGGTTCAACTCACTCATGTGAGCATGGCCATTATTCTTCATTTCAAATAGATGAATTTTGTTGAAACATGAAAAATGGTAAGAACAAAATTTTTCCTACAAATAAAAATAATAATAATATGACAGAACCCCACACCCTCCCCGTGGCTT